GTATAAGCATTTCCTTTTCTCTGCAGCCTCGCCAGCATCTGTTATTTTTTGGCTTTTTAATAGTAGCCATTTTAACTGGTGTGAAATGGTATCCTCATTGTGGTTTTGATTTGCACTTCTCTTAGATCAGTAATATGGAGCTTTTTTTCATCTGCTCGTTGCCCACATGTATGTCTTTTGAATAGTATCTCTGTGTCTTTTGCTGACTTTTTAATGGGATTTTTCTTTCTTTCTTGTGAATTTGAGTTCCTTACAAATGTTAGATATTAGACCTTTGTCAGATGCATAGTTTGCAAATTTTTTTTTTTTTTATTCTGTAGGTTGTCTCTTTACCCTGTTTGTTTTGCTGTGCAGAAGCTCTTAAGTTTAATTAGATCCAATTTGTCAGATTTTGCTTTTGCTGTGATTGCTTTGGGCATCTTTGTCATGAAATCCTTGCCCATTCCTATGTCCAGAATGGTATTGTCTAGGTTGTCTCCCAGGGTTTTTATAGTTTTCGGTTTTACATTTAAGCCTTTACTGCATTTTGAGTTGATTTTTGTATATGGTATAAGAAAGAGGTCCAGTTTCAATCTTGTCCATATGGCTTGCCAGTTATCCCAGCATGGTTTATTGAATAGGGAGTCCTTTCCCCATTTGTTTTTGTCACCTTTGTCAAAGATCAGGTGGTTGTAGGTATGCGGCCTTATTTCTGGGCTCTCTACTCTGTTCCCTTAGTCTATGTGTCTGTTTTTGTACAAGCACCATGCTGTTTTAGTTACTGCAGCCCTGTAGTATAATTCGCATTCAGGTAGTGTGACACTTCCAGCTTTGTTGTTTTTGCTTAGGATAGGATTATCTTGGCCATCCAGGCTCTTTTTTTGTTCCATATGAATTTTAAAATACTTTTTTTCCTAGTTACCTGAAGAATGTCACTGGTAGTTTGATAGGAATAGCATTCAGTCTGTATATTGCTTTGGGCAGTATGGCCAATTAAATGATACTGAGTCTTATTTGTGAGTGTGGTATGTTTTTCCATTTGTTTGTGTCATCTCTGACTTCCTTGGACAGTATAAAACTATGAAATTTCTAGTAGAAAATATTGGATAAATCTTTATGACTTCAGTGTAGGCAGAGATGTCTTAGGACACCAAAAGCTCCAGTCTTGAAAGAGTAATTGAAAATGTTGACTTCATCAAAATTTAAAACTTTTCTTCAAAAGACAGTGTGAAGACAATGAAAAAGCAAGGCACAGATTGGGAAAGATATTCACAGAACATACATCTGACAAAAGACTTGTATTCAGAATATATAAAGAACTCTTACAACCCAATAGTAGGAAGACAACCCAGTAAACAAATAGGTAAAATATTTGAACAGATCTTCACAAAAGAAGATATGTGAATAGTCAACAAGCACCTGAAAAGATGCTCAACATTGTTAGTAATTAGAGAAACGCAAATCAAAACTACAGTGATGGTACTGGATACCCACTAGTATTACTAAATGTAAAAAGACTGAAAATGGCAAGTGTTAACCAAAATATGGAACAACTGGAACTCTCATATACCACTTGTAGAAATGGAAAATGGTATAATCACTTTGGAAAAAGTGTGCCCATTTCTTACAGTGCTAAACGTAGACTTACCATATGACTGTATTACCAGTTCTACTCTTAGGTATTTATCCAAGGTAAATGAAAACACATGTCTACCAAAAGACTTTATTCATAATAGAGAAAAACTAGAAACAACTTATATGTCCCTCAACAGGTAAATGGATAAACTCATTGTGGTATATTTATATAATGGGATATTACAGAACAATAAAAAGAAAGGAACTGCTGATGAGAGAGAACAACATGGATGAATGTCAAAAACATCATGGTGAGAAAAAGAAGATCAACCAGGAGAACATGCTATGCGATTCCATTTATACGGGTTCTAGAAAAAGAAAAAAACCTGTAACGATAAACAGTCACTGGATACTCAAGGCTGAGCTTCAGGGGAAGCTCTGCACAAGGCTGTGCATGCAGAGGGGCACAAGAGAATCATCTGACATGTTGGAAACCTTCTCCATTGTGATCATGGTGTTTGTTACTTAGGCTTATGCATTTTTCAAAACCCATCGTACACTTTAAATGAGTATTATATATCAATTAAATTGCAATATAAAGTGATTTAAAAAGCAAAAGAAAAACCATACAGGAAACTAAAGTAGAACTGGACTCTTCTTAGAAAAACCTCAGAACGTCAGATTATGTTTTTATCAAAATATGCACAAAATCGGAGTCAAACAGTGGAAGAAAGGTTTTAAAAAATAAAAGAATTACGATGTCTTCATTTGAATTAAATTCCTACTCACTAAAGTTTCCAATTGCAGTCTGTATCTCAATCCAATGGATTTTCCATTCCAAGTCAACAGTGACCTATTGCTTTTGTCAAGATTCCCAATAACCGAGACATTAAGAAAGTAATTGATATTTAAGAAAGTAACTTCTAAAATGTTAACTGTTAATGTGACCACAAGAGGACTCAGTGTGTCTGCCAGAGCTAAAGTTATTCCTTTAGAGAAAAGTTTGATCTAAGCCAACTTTTATCCCATGCCTCTAAACTTTCAATAAAGATATATTCCAAGCACTAAGGCTCTATGACTTAAGCCTTTTTAAAGAACATGACTCCTCATTCTGGTGCTTCTGCCATTAGTCAGTTCAGATAGCTCCTTGTCTCTTTTCTTCTGCCTTGGGGTTAACTTTTTTTGCGGGGGGCAGGGGACAGAGTCTCACTCTGTCATTCAGGCTGGAGTGTAGTGGCGAGATCTCGGCTCATCACAACCTCAGCTTCCTGAGTTCAAATGATTCTCCTGCCTCAGCCTCCTGAGTAGTTGAGATTACAGGCACCCGCCACCCCGCCTGGCTAATTTTTTTGTATTTTTAGTAGAGATAGGGTTTCTCCATGTTAGCCAGGATAGTCTTGATCTCCTGATTTCGTGATCCACCCACCTCAGCCTCCCAAAGTGCTGGGATTACAGGCGTGAGCCACCATGCCCGGCTAGGGTAAACTTTTAATAACAATCAAGAGTCAGTTCTTTCTCATTCTGTCCTTAACCTCTTCAGGCCCATGGCACTTTTTTTTGAGGGGCGTAGTGGTGAGGGGAACAGAATCACAGAATGTTAGAGTGGAAAGGTCATTGTCTGAGTCATTTATTCCAGTTTTGTCATTTTATAGAGAGGAGAACTGAGGCCCAGAGAAGGAGAGGGACTTTTCTAATATCTCATAACTCTTAGGAATGGAGACCAGCCTCCGCTCCTTGCAGGCCCACACTGTCTGGAAACACAGCCTGCTTCTCTCTCTGACTTGGGCTCTTTGGTAACAAGAGAGAGACATTTTCCACCTGTTTTCAAGGACATTGCTGAAGAACAAGGAATAAAGGGATCATGAAGTATATGTTGCAAAACACAGATGCTTGAAAGCAGCCTTAAGTCACTACCTGTGTAAATTACTTTCCTAATCCTTTGGGATAAAAATTCCTGTGGCTCGCACATTACAGGAGAGTTTGTAGTTTTCTTTCTTTTTCTTTGTTTTTGTGAAGCTATGAATTTGTTTTGGAGGAGAGACTTTTCACTTTCGCCTTGCTTCTGGGATTTATGATAAAGTTTTCAAAAACTACACTAAAGAGAGAGAAACATGTCATAAATTTCATCTATTTTCCCAGTCATAACTAGGGAGAGCTTACCATTTGAAGCTTTGTAAAGGTAAAGACCAGGCTTGTTTTCCCTCCTGGATGGGGTCATTGCTAATTGCTGTAGTGTTATTAAAACAAAGGGCTGATCTATAAATGCCCCAGAACTATACAACTATACCCAATCAGGGCTGCAATCAGACCACCCTGTGTTTTATGGACTCAGTGTCTTGGCAGTCCAGAGGCATGCCAGTCGGGGCAGAGTTTCTGCTTTGTCTGCTCATTAAACTTTGGAAACCTTTTCTTTGTTGCTGGGCCAGTCATTCTCACAATCTGATTGGCCAGAGTTGATGCTGTTTGAAATGGACAAATTTTATGCTTACTCTGAAAAACGAGTAATAGTTTCAAAGCATATTTATTTAAAAGAGCAAAACTGTTAAATGAGCAGATTGCCTGAAAATAGTTTTATCCGAACCTTCTGAGACTAGGAAAAAATTTATCATGGCTGCCAGGTATAACGTTATTCACATTTCAAAAGAGAGAATGATGATATTAATAACTTACCTTAACTGCCTTTAGCCTTTGCACAGCTCCTTAGTATCTGTGATTTACATCCTTCTCCAAATATCCCTATGAGGGTGAAGGCTGGGTGTGTGTGTTAGTGACTGCATTGACTATGTATAACCTGTTAAGATGTGAGACTTTGAAGTCATTCATTGATTCGTCAGCTTTTTCTGGAGCACTTCCTATGTGTCAGAAACTGTAATAGGCACTAGACTAGAACAGGCTAAAACTCCTTGCTCTTATAGAACCTACATCCTAGTGGGGTCAACGTGCCTGTGTTGACATGTGTTGCTGCTAGTCGTGTCACCCTGGGCAAGCTACTTTTTTACATCGTTTGTTTTCTCATGTGTAACATGATGTTTATAATTCCTGCTGCATAACATGTGTGAATTAATGTGACCATGTATGTGCAGTGCCTAGCACATAGCGAGTGCTCATAAATGGTAACCACCAAGATTACTGTCATCATTTTAGTTGGCAGCAGTTCCACTTGTCATCATTGGGTTCCCAGGGACTCCCCTCTTCTTTGGGGACAGACTTGCTCTCTGCTGTTCCCTTGCAATGAAAACAGATGAGATTAATCCCTGTCCCAGTCATTTTGGAGATGGGGTCGTTCGTATTCCAGCTCCACAGCCCAGTTCTTGTCTTTGCCTTCCTTTTATTGAAGTGGCAGCCATACGGAATTAGCCCTTGTTCAAAAATAACTGCGATGATCATCCTGTTTTGCTTCCCTGGGGTGACAGACTCTAACGTTTCTTTCTCTCTTCTTCTTTCAGATTGTTTAGTGTAATTTTGGAACAATTAACCAAAGAAACAGAAGGCGGGAACCACTCTAGCGGCAAATCTGGAGGCTTTGATGTCAAAGCCCTCCGTGCCTTTCGAGTGTTGCGACCACTTCGACTAGTGTCAGGAGTGCCCAGTAAGCACTTACTGTTTCCTAGAGCTCAGGAGTGTGGTGGTTTTTATCTTCTGGGTGGGTCTCAGAATCACTGACTGGTGCTCCAAGGTGAGTTGCTCTGTGCCAGCCAGGGGTCAGCGGACGACCACGGCCTCCTTCACACTTGACAGGACACTTTGGCTTACACTGTCATGTTGGATCCCCGTGACAGCCCCGAGAGGGGGACAGGTGGCAGTTATTGTCGTCCTGATTTTGTGGAGGAGATAATCTTCTCTTGCAGAAAGACGAGGCGGTGGGGTGAGACTTGGGTTCAGGCCTTTAATTCTGGTCTATTTTTCTTCTTTGACAACATGCTGTTGTCGGCCTCTCCACTTCCAGGCCTGCTTCTCTGAAAGTGGTGGGTTTTGTGGATGAGGGTATTGGAGGACTCGGCCGCCTGCCTTTTTTTTCCAAGTGGGGAGCCCCAGGAGGCTGGACTCCTGGAAACTCTGATTAGCTCCTCTCCTATCAGGAACTATGCTACCCAGCTCTGGGGGGAGGGGTGAATGCTTCAGCTGCCATAGCTGGATACAGGGCACAGGAGTACCTGCCTTGAAGGCCATTGTAAGAACTGAATGAGATAATGGAGGGAGAGCCTCTCGCAGGATGCATGGAGCACAGAAGCTCTCAGTGAGTGGGTGAGAGGGTTCTAGCCACTGGGCCCTACCATACCACTCATTGCCAGGCCCCAGGCCAGGTTAAATCATACCCGAGTTGGAAGAGATGCCCTGTCTGTGCCCTAGCCAAGAGCGGCAGCCTCTTATCCTTCCAGAAGGCATTTGGGGTTGCCTTACTGGGCTCTGCCCCGGTAGTACTCCTGTGTTGGGGACTTCAGTGAGTGGAAGTCCTAACACCTTTCTGAGGGCTGGTGCCTCTAAGCCAGGATATGGGATTGCAGGGTGTGCCTGTTTTTCACAACTCATAAAACCATCGGAAGAACACAGATCACATTTTTTGCCTCTCCAGAAGTTCTTGAAATTTTATTAAGCTTGTTGGCACTTAGAATGACCAAAAATCCTCTGGAAAAAAAAACTTCCAAATTTAACATTTTTAAATGTAGGAAGTGGTGTTTTATGTGTACTTGTTTTTCCAGATGGTTCATTTATTTTCATTGAAAAAGATCAGCACAAGTCAAAACCACAGAACTGTGTGGAATCAATTGAGAAAAATAGAAATACCTAGGAAATGACTGGCTCTCTTAAGTGTAACATGATTAAATGAGAACTTCAGTGAGCAAACATGTTCTTCCAGATTTAGTTGTTATAGCTTAATCTAATTTCAAAGTACCCATGACAGCTTTTTCCCCCCAAAGAGAAAATAACAGGTCAGCCTGTCCATGGTATGTGTTGCGTGAAGACTTTGGGGGCTGTAGCTGTGTGTGTGTGCGTGCGTATGTGCCTGTGTGTGTGCGTGTGTGAGCCTCTGGCCAGCAAAAAATCCAAGAACTCACGTAGCATTGTGTCTGCTTCCTTGGCTAATGAGGTTTTTACTAGTCAACTAGTGCAGTGCTCCCAGATATTCTTGAGAATTAGTTTTAAATTGTATTTCTTCCTTTCTCCAACAAACATCACTGTTTGAAATTGGCTAGATTTGTATTTAACTCTCCCCCAGGTCAGCAAGGAAAAATGTGGGTCTGAGTCTTGTATGAGGACTTTTGAGCTTATTAACCACCCAGGTGGGGAATGTCTCAGTCTCATCAAACTCAAATAGGCTTTTGAAGGAAGGGATCAGAGGTTGTGGGACATGCTGTTTCTAGTGGTGGTTGGCAACTGCGGCCTTCTGATTTCTTCCCTAGTGCCCGAAGTTGTGAAAAATGTCCAGGAATGTTTGACTGGTTACACTTACATAGGAATTCTTTAGTCCCTGCTAAAGAGAATCCTGACTGTTCTGTAAGACATAATTTTGTGTGCACGTGTGTATGGAAATATATATTTATTGAGTGAGTGAAAGGGAGATTTATTTCACAAGGTGGCAAATCAGACATTTGCGGAGTTCTTAACCACCCATATTAAGAGACTGAGGAAGAATGGGCAGGAACCCAGAATGTGCCCTGGGAGACCAGGCCTCCTGACCCCTGCATCGGTGTCCCATGTCCTCTCCACTGCCCTGCGGCCTCAGCACTACTGTGCTGCTCACCCTTTAACGTCTTACCTTGTCTTTCCTCGTCCTTCCTTGTTGGACAGGGAAATGTTTATCAAAGTTCAAGACCATCAGAGTGGGAAAAAAATCCTAAAGATCATCTGGTCTACCTGTATCTTTTAGACGAGGAAACTGGGGCCTGTTAGAGTTAGTGACTTGTGTAAGTTCTCACAGCTAATGAGTAGCCCTAAGACAGAACGAGACCCACGATCTCCACATTCCTGACCCAGTCTTCTTCCCATTTCTGCCTCCTTGGCTAGAGTCCCATGAGTTCCACTGAGATCTACCATATGTGTTGAATTGTACAAAGGAGCTGAATGCAATAAAGTATACATGTTCACAGCCACATACAACTTTATCATCTCATAAATGGGACCAATCTGAAATACAATAGTTACTCTAAACGTAAAAAAATTTCATGAAGCTTACTGCCATGGAATTTAGAAGAGCTAACTGCTGGGGGATGATTTTGGATGGCCTGTTGGCGTCTTAAGAAAATCAAAACCACAATAGAAACCTGTCCACTGGGATCAGAACAGGTGTCGTCTTTTCCCTTCCATGTGTTCCTTACAGGAGGTAGAAATATTGAAAATTGTCCTAACTGATCATTTTTGAAAAAAAAATAGCATTTACATATCCAAAGGTGTAGCACCCAGGTTTTAGTTGTAATAGAGGTCACAGCAAGGCAGAGTCTTCTCAGTCCGAAATCCTTACTGCTCTTCCCTCACCATCCTCTCCCCTGCTTCCTCCTGTGCTGCTCCTCTCATGGTAAACGTCTATCGTGATTGCTGCATCTTCTCTTTGCTTGCTGTATTCTGGTTTCTGATGTAAGCATCTCAGCTTCTTGCATCCTTTCTTTCCTGAATATGTGTTGGGAAAGTAAGGTGATAGCAGAAAAGGGGAAGTTTGAAGGTGTAGAAACAACAGGGAAGGACAGGGAAAGAGCAGGTAGGGAGGAAAAGAGTGAGCAGCACCATGGTGCTGAGGTTGCGGGCCAGTGAGCAGGACGTGGGATGCCAGCGTGGCGTCAGGAGGCCTGGTGTCTAGGGCAGGTTCTGGGTTCCTGCACCTTCTCCCTTAGTCTCTTGCTCCCTCACACCCAAACCTAATCCTGAGTGCCACCTCCATCCTTCTTTTCATGACCTGTTTTTCTCTCCCTTGGCTGACAGCCTTACCCACACTGTGGTACTGAGTATGACTCCATGGGTAGCTTCTATTAGGTTGGTGTAAAAGTAATTGCAGTTTTTGCCATTGAAATGAATGGGTCTGAGTCTGAGGATTTTAGACCTCCATGGCAGCAAAAGTTTTAAATGTAGTAAATTATCATTTCTCTCTCTTTTTTTTTTTTTTTTTTTTTTTTTTGGAGGGGAACTCTCGTTCTGTCACCTAGGCTGGAGTTGCAACCTCTGTCTCCCAGGTTCAAGCGACTCTCCCACCTCAGCCTCCTGAGTAGCTGGACTATAGTTGCCCACCACCACACCTGACTAATTTTTTGTATTTCTAGTAGGGACGGTGTTTTACCATGTTGGCCAGGCTGGTCTTGAACTCCTGACCTCAGGTCATCTACCTGCCTTGGCCTCCCAAAGTGCTGGGATTACAGGTGTGAGCCATGGTGGCCGGCCAGAAATAATCATTTCTCATGTTCTTGTCTCTCAAGACAGGACATGTCTTGAGACACATCTACCTTAATGTTATATAATACCAACATCAAACTTAACAAGGCTCAAGTCACTCTCACCCCTCTCCCTGCCCCTCCCACCTCCCCCATTCCTGGAGAACTTCCCTTTTAATGTTTAGTTTTGTTCCGGACACTGGGATTTGCCTCAAGACCCTGGCTCAAATAACTGGTATGCTCCATAGGTACCTTCCTCTCATTCCGACTCAGTTGCTGAGTTCTGGCCTCATCCTGATCTTCACCCTCCCCTACCCCAGCACTCTTGAACCACCTCTCTGTGTCTGGCCTGCTGCTGTCCTGTTCCTCTTTCTAAAGCAGCTGCCTTTTGCCAGTGGTCTGAAGTCTGGCTCCCTAACCCGGATTCAAAACCCAGAACCCTGGCTGCAATCTACTTCTCTTTCCTGATTTTCTTTTCCACTATATAACCACCCCTCAAGACTCGCCACCCTCAAGCCCGCACTGTGCTACTCACCTTTGTGCTTGTGGTATTCTGTTCTTCTTTCCTGAAGTCGACTCTCTCCCATACCCCCCTGTGGAAATCCACCCAGCCTCCTGGGCATGCCTAGAGGGAAACTGCCTCAAGGCCCCTTCTTCACCCCTTTCATCCCTCTTAATTTTAACTGTTGGATATTATTTATATAGCATCTATGTGCTACCCCAGAGTAGATTATTTGTGTTTAATTCTGTGTCTCCTAGAATGTAATTTTCTGAGGGGAGACATTTTACATAAACCATCTTCATATTGCCCCGAAGCATGAAACCCGATTTCCACATGGTAGATGTTCAGGGGCTTTTGCCAGATGGATGGAGAAATGCATGAATGAATGGTGGGCTTCAGCCCTGGGCAGTCACCTCCCTAGACCTTCCTTCTCCCTGTGTCTAGTGGGGGAGTTGGATTAGATGATCTTTAAAGTTCCTTGTCAGTCTATCTCACATCCAGGCTTCATATTAATGAAAAGCTTTGATATACCTCTTTGAATTTTATTACTCTGTGTTCTGAATAAAGGAAGCATGATTGGGAATTATATATATGATTTATTGGAGTGTCTTCCTGGCTCACAAACTTATTTCTTTGTTTTTCCTAGGTTTACAAGTTGTCCTGAACTCCATTATAAAAGCCATGGTTCCCCTCCTTCACATAGCCCTTTTGGTATTATTTGTAATCATAATCTATGCTATTATAGGATTGGAACTTTTTATTGGAAAAATGCACAAAACATGTTTTTTTGCTGACTCAGGTGAGTAATGAAAATGGTAGCTAACTTAACTTTAAAAACTTTTGGGTTTCCCCAAAGCAACTTTTGTGGTTGGGGAAAATCTAAAACAAAATAGAAAAAAAAATGCCCAATATACCGGTACACTTACTGAGTTAGTTCTCAGGTGAATTATGTTCAGAATAGATGAGAATTCAGTCCCCCTTTCCACCCCAATTTCCTGTGTAATGTGTACTAGCAAACAAAACGAGAGACCTCCAAAGCGAAAACGCGAGGCACACCCACAGCATTGTGCCGTCTAAGCCTAAGGAGGGTGCAGCCAGCGTGGGTGCAGAGGAAAAGAGCCATGGACTGGAAGAGCAGAAATGGCAGGTTCCACTAAGGAGGGAGCACGTGAAGGGAACCTTGAAGGACAAGTAGGATCCTGAGGCATCACAGATGGGGCGGTCGAGTGTCCCAGGCTCTGGCAAGGGTTCTCACCTTCCAATGGCCTGGATTTCCTGATGTTTCTGTCCTGAGTGGTGCAGCCTGTTTGTGCGTTTGCAGATATCGTAGCTGAAGAGGACCCAGCTCCATGTGCGTTCTCAGGGAATGGACGCCAGTGTACTGCCAATGGCACGGAATGTAGGAGTGGCTGGGTTGGCCCAAACGGAGGCATCACCAACTTTGATAACTTTGCCTTTGCCATGCTCACTGTGTTTCAGTGCATCACCATGGAGGGCTGGACAGACGTGCTCTACTGGGTAAGCACCCTGGGGAGAGAGTTTATGGAGTGTCCTTTCCTTGGATAAGTGGGTTTTGTCAGCAAAAGCCATTGGAGAGTTGGCTGGAAAAGAAACCCCAAAGTCAGTTATTTGGGAAGGGAAGCAGATGCTTTCTTTACCAGCAGGCCTCATCACCCTGTTCCCCAAGGGCCTTAGTTTCAGTTGCAGGAAGCTGCTGCACGATGTTGGCTTCTGGCTTTAGTCTTCTACTCCCCAGTGCTGCCTGAAGACCTGGTGCCAAGGGTGCCCAGTGGTCCTCTTTGGAGGAACTCCAGGAAGACAGGGCTATCCTGATTCAATTCTTTTTTTTTTTTTTTTGAGAGGGGGTCTCACTCTGTCATCAGGCTGGAGTTCAGTGGCATGTGATCTCAGCTTACTGCAACCTCCGCCTCCCAGATTCAAGCGACTCTCCTGCCTCAGCCTCCTGAGTAGCTGGGATTACAGGTGCACGCCACCATGCCCAGCTAATTTTTGTATTTTTAGTAGAGACGGGGTTTCACCATTGTGGCCAGGATGGTCTCAATCTCTTGACCTTATGATCCACCCGCCTCAGCCTCCCAAAGCGCTGGGATTACAGGCATGAGCCATGGCGCCTGGCCCCAATTCAACTCTTAAGAGAGCCAAAGGGTCACTTTCTAGGTGATGAGGCTCCTGGACCTCCACAGGCTAAAGTTAATCATTTATACATCAAGGCAGTTTCTCTACTAGATCCTAAAGGGAAGAAAGGGAATGTAAATTGGATCCCTTTTGTACTTTCCATAACTCAGTACAACCTTAAACCCAGCATGAGTTTCTGCCATGATAATATTTTCCATTCTTATCTTAGTATTACCATAAATCAGCCCAGCATAAACCCTTAGCGTCTTCCTTTCTATTTGAAGCTACAGAACTCTGGCAGAAAGGGTAGGAATGGCATATAGACTTCCAGGGCTGCTGGACCCATCCAGCCTGCCATGAAAACTAACATTCTTTCAAGGAGAGGGCCTGATTCCTCTTGTTCCTGATAGGGCCAGAAAGATTTGCTGTATAAAAATAAGTGCTATAGTATTTTAAAAGCCATTTCCCAGGGCTGAGTTTGTTCCTTAGAATGTAAATAAAGCTCACAGAAGTTCTAGAAATTGTTTTTCATGGTATAAGAGTTGCTGGTAAAGACAGCTAACATGTAGATTTTGAGCCTAAATCCAAGTCCAAAGGGGAGTAACCAGGATTCCAATCATGAGTTGTTAAAAGGAAATTAGTAATAAAGTACTTCTGAAATCAGCAGCTTCTCGGTAGAAGGCCTGTACATTGAGCAGTAGCTTCTGACAGTTTCTAAATTTTAGATACTTTTCAGGATTTCCTGTTACTACCTAACTTCAGAGAATGTAACATATAATGGTTATAAATAGGTTTTTGCTTCCCTTTACCAGCTCGCAGGATTGTAGATGTCCCTATATATTCAATATTAGACAAAGAAGGTATATTTTTATCTTTAGTCCCCGAAGTGAGTCTAGCTTGATGAGGTTTAAGCATCACCAACATGTTATATCTTGTTTTTCCTACTTACCTTTCTTTTTTCTGGTTGTCATGGGAGTGTGAGTGTGTGTGTCTGTGCATGTGTGTGTGTGTGTGTCTGTGTGAGTATGCACATCTGTTATTTATATTCATAAAACAACGTCTTTTCATGAAGAGGAAGGAGGAGGGAGATGATATTGGCTGAGCCAGGGGCATGGCTCGTGTATGCAAGAGGGCCCTCAGGTTAGGTGAAGCATTCATTTTCACTATTTCCTAAATTGCAACTCCTAGTCATATTAGTTGAGGTCTCAATTACAGTCTTCCCTTGAAATTTCTAATAAATAGAAAAAGCATCATCAAAATAGCCGAAACTCTGGTATTTCCCCTGCAAGCAGGAGAGAAAACAACATTTTGATTTTTAAAAAATCAAAATCTGTGACTCCTCTCAGCTTTGTTTTCCTCTCTACTGACATGGTGAATTGCCAACTGCTGATCCAACATGCCTTGACTAATGAACAATTTTATACTTTATGTTATATTCCTGCACATTGATTCTCACAATTTTCCTGCTGCCAAGCAAGTGTAAAATCTGGTAGTACATGATTAAAGGAGAGGGAACTTCAGGCTCCCAGAGACAAAAGTTTCCACTTACTTTCCTGAGAGGGTTTAAATATCACCTAGGATGATATAATTATTATTTTCATTATTAATATGGCAATCAACATGGCTAATAATTCGACAGTATAATTGCAGTCTCCATGAATTCCACAGCATCTTTATTCCGATGGAGGATCTCAAGTCATTCATAAACTTTATCCCAGTCTGTATCCCTTTATAGAAGACCTGCAATCTTGAAGATGGAGACAGTGGCGTAGAGACCATGGAATGTTCCCTGGGTTCTATAGCAGATGGTTATGGTCCTTGATCTAGAACAGGGGTCTGCAGACCTTTTTATAAGGGGCCAAATAGAAAATCTATTTGGCCTTGCAGGCCACATTTGGTCACCTCAGTAACGATTCAGCCCTGCCATTGTAGCTAGGAAGCAGCCATAGGCAGTACCTAAGCAAATGGATGTGGCTTTATTCTAATCAGACTTCATTTGTGAACCCTAAAATTAAAATTTTGTGTGACTTTTCTGTGTCATGAAATATTTTGCTTTTGATTTTTACCCCCCACTAACTATTTCAAACTGTAAAAATCATTTTTGGCTTGAGGCCATATAAAAGTAGACAGGAAGCTGGATTTGGCCTCCAGATCATGCAGTGGGGACCCCCCGGGTCTAGACTAGAACCCAGCACTCTTTCCTTGGCATTCTTCCAGTGGTCAGAAGTTTATGAATCCTTCCAGAACACCAGGGGGCAGCTAAGTAATGTCTTCCCGACTGTTCTCTAAGATCTTACTCTCTGAAACACATCAGGATTGCTTTTAATTACCTGTTGATTGCATTTATTAGCTCATCATAGAGATAGGCAGGGGCCAAGGAACCAAGGCTTCCTAATATTTCATGGACCACAGTCAGCTGGAAGCCACACTGCTGTGATACACAGCAGTACATCCCTGCCCAGCACAGTGCCTGGCACCAAGCAGGCACTCAGTAAACACAAGTGATGGCCATCATCCTTCAAGTGTACCCAGGCATTTTGCCTCATTAGTATAGATGGGCCATGTTTGAATATCTATTTTTATCCATAACTAGGGCATAAAGGGAACATCTTGGGAGATAAAAAGAGATTAGATTTTAAATATTGACTGCAGGCACACTTCTGAATCCTTTAGGCGTTTGCATATGGTGGACAGTCTTTGCAGAGCATTGTTTTGCATCTAGTCAAGTTTATATTCAGCCAGCGTTCTCAAGCTCATTTATGCCTTGCTTCTCACTGCTGTTTGGAAAATGTCTGGCAGGGTCCTGAGAGGGGACATACAGGTGGGTCGAATGTGTAGAAAGGCACACTTAGGAGAGGACTGTTTGGATGTGTGGGAAGTGGGATCATTAAGTTCTGGTGGAAAGAAACCTAGGGTCGAGTTCTTTGATAAAGTGAGTTCCATAAATATAATTGAGCTGTCGTTTGACCCACGTGTGAGCATTTGTTGCTGACAGAGGCAGTAGGGTATAGGGAAGGGAAAGAGTGTTTAGGCTGGTTGTGTGACCTTGAGTAGGTCATGGAACCTCTCAAGATGCAGAATTAGACTTACATGATTTACTTTTTCCCTTCAATTTAGAGGAAATTATTTTTTCCCTTCATTTCAAAGAAATTGTTTTTCAGTGTAGGAAATAAATAGTATTGGTTTCAGGAGACAGCTGTCCAGATAAATAATATCTGGTGTCTTGCCTTAGCACCAAGGTCTTTTCTTAATGCACATTCCTCCGGAGGTGCTGGCTGTCAGACCTTCACGGGAAGTACTAATGGTCAAGCTGACAATCTCTTTCAATCAGGGCACCTAGGAAATTTCTCAGTAACCAGCCGAGGGCTTAACTTTCTCTTATTGCGTGCTTTGGGGAGTTGAAACAAGTATACCAAGTTTCTGGAAGTGTTTTCAACAGCTAGAAAAACAGACTTGGGTTGGTCTATAATTTGAGATGTGAATATGCATTTCAGCCTTTTATTTTTTTGAGATGGAGTCTCGCTCTGTCGCCCAGGCTGGAGTGCAGTGGCATGATCTCCGCTCACTGCAACCTTCACTTCAAGGTTCAAGCGATTCCTGTGCCTCAGCCTCCCAAGTAGCTGGGATTACAGGTGCCTACTATCATGCCTGGCTAATTTTTGTATTTTTAGTAGAGATGGCTTTCACTACTGAGTCAGCCAAGGGTTTTACTATTAAGTTGGATAAACTAATTTCAGCAGAAAGGCAGAGGGTAATTCATCCAGAGAAACTATACCACTAAACTTACTGAAAAACCCATATATGAAGAAGAAACCGGATATCTGGTGTGGTGGCCTGTGCCTGGCCTGTTGGCCAGACTGGTCTTGAACTCCCAACCTCAGGTGATCCACCTGCCTTGGCCTCCCAAAGTGCTGGGATTACAGGTGTGAACAACTGCACCTGGCCTATTTCAGCCTTTTAAAAGAAGGAAAACTGAAGCTAGAAAGAAAATTATTTCCTAGGCACCAGATGATACCCCTTGATGACTTTGATATAAGTTTTTTAAAAATTAATTTAAATTGAAGTGCTTCAGTGGAAGCCAGGTTCTTCATTGTTGATAAAGACCATATAGACAAAATCCCAAGCAGTCTCTGTTTTCATGTGGGTATTTTTGAGAACAGCTTGCAAGTTCTGATTATGGTAAGATCTAAGAAATGCTTGGCTCTGAAAAGTGGAGGGTTCACTGGGAGCAAGACTGGCTCTCAGATCTGAAGTTTGTCTCTCTTGCTCCACCTTCTGACTTAGAGATTTGGGATCTCTGGGGGACCAAATTCAACTCTGGCCTTTCCCCCCAGTCCTCAGCTATCATTTGATACTTCTGAATTGAGCAAATGTGAATCAAATGAACATCTCCCAAGAAATTAAAAGAGTTTTAAATTTTTTAAAAGAAAATTTACCCTTCCAAGTGGAGAAGACAGCTGTTACTAGAGCCATTCTCTGGAATACCAGACTGAGGCCTGAGGGAGGGTTGGTGAAGCAGATGGCTCAGCAGCTGATGGTTGCCAGGGTCGTAGAAGAGTGAGGTTTCCTGATAAGAGCCCTGGACCTGTCCATCCTCCTCTCACCCTGCTGAGCACCCTCTCCCCTGCTGCATGCACCTCTGTTCCAATCCAGAGGGAAACAAGCCCCGATGGGGCTCTGTCACAGGTGCCGACCCAGGCCAGGCACAGGCCACCACGCCAGACACCCAGTTTCTTCTTCCTATATGGGGTTTTCAGTAAGTTTAGTGGTATAGTTGCTCTGGATGAATTACCCTTTGCCTTCCTGCTGAAATTAGTTTACCCAACTTAATTAGATCAACAATTGCAGCCACAGCCCAGGCTCATTCATTACTCTAATTGCCAATGTAAGATGTGCAGACTGATATGAGTTCTATTAAGCACATCAGTTTTCATGTGGCCAAACAGGTGTTTCATAAGGGATTTAATGCCCTCTCCCTAGACTTCAGCAACAGATGTTAGATAATTTTTTTTAATGTTCACTTTCCCTGTTTGGCTTCTGCATGAGGCACACATTATGAAATGCATGAGCCTCATGCTGTAAAGCTAAAATGTGGAGCCAGATAATGTGCAGGAAGGCACATGCGTAACACCCTAAGGGCTTGCACCTGCAAGGCAAGACTGATGGCTCTATCCAGACTATATGTAATTTTTATTGGCTGAAGATTCTCGGTGTTTTGGCAGGGTCATACCTTGGGCCATTCATTCTCCCAATTGGTCCTTAACACCTCCTTCCTGGGAAAGGTGTTTGCTGAATTTAACACTGACCTGTGCTTCTGGAAAGTTCCATCCAGCTGTGACCCTTGAAGCACCTGTTTGCTCCAGCATGAAAGCTGCTCACCACCAAGCCTCCCTTGGCAGAGTGTGCCAGATAGATTGAATGTGCAGCATGAGCTCATCCAGGAGTAGGAGAATGGGGTTCCTCTGGCCACATCCTTTCACCTCTAAACCCAGTCAGCTCACAGCTGGAGCCAGTCTCCCAAGGAGGTCATCTAGATCAAAGCTATGTGTGAAGAATAAGGGCTGCCTCTCCTTTCTGTGGGTGCAGCTAAGAAAAAGCCCATTCCCCAAAGCACCTCTATGGGTCACCTAGTTGACCTTGAAAAAATTTTTTTTTGGCATTCATTTTGCTGTGTTTGCACTCACAGGTTGCAGATAATTCAGATCTAAGGTGGGTTTGGTTTCCTTGGGTAGATTGGTTTTCAGTAGAAGGCTATTTTAGAAGTTTTTAAAAAAGAGTTTATACAATCAAATGGTGCAAGTTTGTTTCTATAATGAAGACTTTTCCACCATCACACATTTTAAACACAAAGTACTAAAATCTTGGGCAGCATAGAAAATAGGTTCTAGCTAAGCACTAGTTTTGTCCTCTACCAAGACCTTTTATGAAAATCACTTACCAAGACAATTTCCTGTGAGAAAAAGCCAAATCCCAGCTGATTTGCCTTACTGGGGCCAAAATCTGCTATTATTTGGCCTGAAAGCCTTGATGAGGAGTGTGTGTGTGTGTGTGTGTGTGTGTGTGTGTGTGTGTGTGTGTGTGTATGTGTGTATGGATGCTTGTGTATGTGTACTGGGAATATGTGATGAATGTGTGTTGGCTGCTGTTGTCTCTGATTTGGCAACTGTTGTTTCTGATTTGAATCTAAGTGAATGTTTACTTAAATGTATAGAATGCTATCTCTAATGTGACCCTCTCTCCTTATTAAATTATCTTATTAACTCACTCCTATGAGACCATCTTATTTCTTGCAGATGAATGATGCTATGGGATTTGAATTGCCCTGGGTGTATTTTGTCAGTCTCGTCATCTTTGGGTCATTTTTCGTACTAAATCTTGTACTTGGTGTATTGAGCGGGTAAGCTACACCTCTTTCATCTTGAAAGCAGAGTCCTGAGGACAGTTGCCAAGACCACACAGGCTTTGCTGGATGAGGGCCGTCAGGAGGGGTTGCCAGACATTTTATGTGTCCTCTGAGATGCTTTCTTCTCTGCTGAGGCTTCCCAAATCAAGCTGTTTCCTGGAACCTCACCAGGCTTCATGAAAGAGAGCTATAGAACGATTATTGACCAGAAATTAATCAGCATTGTTGCTTGAGATTTAAACAATTTCCATTGCTTGCCCTTTTTGTCTGTTCTAAAATGAGATGCATTTATAATTGCTTTATTGGTCTGGATCCAAATATAATGCAGATTAATTGTTATAAAACAGTAGCAATATCAGCCGGATTGGGTCGGCTGTTGGTAGGCCCCATTTGTAGATTTCAGCAACTGAGCCTGCCCTTATTTGCAGACAATAAAAGGAAGGACCTAGGCCCAGTCCCTGTCCTAGGAGCACTAACCTTCAGCAAAGCACTGAGGGCCTGGCAGCTGCAACTGGGGCTCTGCTCTTTAGTAAATGGATAACTGATAACTGATCTCCTTACATTTTGCAGGTAAATGATGCGATAGGATGGGAATGGCCTTGGGTGTATTTTGTTAGTCTGATCATCCTTGGCTCATTTTTCGTCCTTAACCTGGTTCTTGGTGTCCTTAGTGGGTAAGCAGTTGGATCCGTGTTGCACCTTCTCCCGCTGTCACGTGTGAGGCGACTCTGCGTGTCTCCCAGCTGCTCCCTGACAGCTTCTCTGCATGTGTTTGGACTCTGATGTCCCCTCAGTGTGTTGCTTTTGGATTGAACTGTGATTCTCTCTGCTTGTATCTGTCTGTGAGATTCCGTGTTTCCGATGTTTGCCAAACGCTGTTAATTTAATGAAAACGTTTCCCTAAAGCCAGTCGTGTTAGTATGTGAACGTGTAAAGGTGGATTACAAGGGAGTTAAAGGAATCCCAGCCTTGGTCTCCCCCAGGAAAGGGGCTTTTGTCATTTGACGGGTTGTGTCTATTAGTACATAACCTGGCCCCTTTAGGTCTCCATAGTGCATTATAAATACTTCCAGGGGAGTTTTATATTTTACTGTGAAGGAGAAATAAGACTCGAGCACATAAATACTGTACAGTTTCAAAGTCTTACTTCCTCAGATTGGGATTCTTTATTAGCTTGGTTTTCTAGTGCTGTCACTGTGAGAACTGTCCCTGTGATTCAGTTTTAGCTGTAACTTACAGAACCTGTCTCAATGCAGAGTGATGACCGACTACTGTGCACACATTTCCCACGACCTTACATAGACCTCATCATTCAGTCGCCATTTTTGAAGTTTACTTGTTTATCACTTCCTCTGTATGGATTGACTCTCCATAAAGAGGGTGCAGCAGAGACTGGCCTGGAAAGGGGACTCTGCGGGCTGTGCCTTGCCGTAGCTGGAGATGCCATCCCAGAACCCTTGTGGGCAACCGTGCATCCGCAGCGCCTCTCAGACACCCCCGGAAGGTGGGGTGCTGCAGAGAAGGGAGTTGGGGGCTGTCTGGCACTCTTATAATCAGCTCCTGTGTGCAGCCATTGCTGGGTGGTGGGGGGCAGGCAAGATACCCCACATCTCCCAGAGGAGCCTCTGTCACTGCACTGCGCCCAGACACCCTCAGGAAGCCGTGTTGATGGATTTGTTTCCCAGTGAGTTTATCTCCTCCTCACTCACTTTATCTTGCTCTTTCCAAGGCTGTATCTCATGGAAGTGATGTCTTCATGTACGCTGAGTTAGTGAAAAGGCTTTAATCGCATTTTTGGAAACACTGCTTTTTCCAGGGCAGAAAGCAGAGCGCAGTTACCCATCTCGGCTTCCTTTCTGTATCTTCCCCCAGACCAGCCCTGGATTGAATGAAGTCAGTTCCACACCAGGGACGCACACTGTCACAGAAAGTCCCTTTGTAGAGATGGCATGGGCCAGTGCCCCCTGCCAGAGAGAGGGGTGGGGGCTGGGCCTGGGTTGGGGCCGCATAACCCTCCCCTGCCTGAGCTGCCTCCTACAGATGAGTGGCTCGTCAAGCCCCAGGCTCTTCCACCTCAACCTGAGAAGTGTCTTTCTCCTAGTGAACCTCAGTGGCCTTAGACCAGGGTTGGGCACGTGAGAGTGGTATCTATTCCTGGAGAAGTAACATAGCATTTGATTTTGCCACAGGAGCGCCCTATACAAGGTTAACAGCAATCCTGTTGTGAATTCCTTGGCGCCTCATGTCTCCTAAACCCAACTAAACTGACGGAGGCCATGGAAACCACTGATTTTAACAGTGCCAGTGACATGCCTTATCTCTTAGCTTCCCCAGGCAGGAGCCATTGCCCCAGCAGGCATGATGAAGCAGAGGCAGGAGCCAGATCGTGAGGTGCTTAAAAAAAGAAAAGAGAAAAAGATGGGAGGAGGGGCTTCCCACTATCACAAATGGGGGTTAAACCTGCAACTCCGTGGGAGGTACCCAAAGCTGGAGGATTAAAAAAAGGAACAGTCCTTCATGGAACAGCCAGTTTACTAAAATATATTTTGGGGGAAAATAATTTTTAAAAAAAAATTTTTTTTCATCAAAACAAAACTTAGATCCCTTATGAAGGAGACTGCAAATGACACTGTTAAAAGAAAACCTGAGACTTCCCAGCCATTCTGTCAGTGCATGCTGTGCTCAGACCCCTAGGGGCTGCACATTACCTCCTCTCTACTCCCCCTGAAGGCCTCCGGTAGGGCTGGTTTGGGTATAGGCAGAACCATGTCTGCAAAGCACAGCCGCTCAGCCGTGTGCCTGACTTGGCCAGTATTTCCTGAGATGCTGTAGCGTGCCCGGCTCTGGGCCAGAGACCAGGGTTGCCAAGATGTCCCAGATGCAGACAGCGGCCTTGTGCTTAAGCATTCATTTTCTCGTGGGGTAGCCCATTTTGAAGCCATGCAGAATGGCAAATGTTCAGTGGAGGTGTAGACCCAGGGGCTCTGTGAGCTGCCGTAGAAAGATGAGGAGGCATCTCTCCGGGAGATTGACGGGCTGGCACGTCTCCAGCTCCCCCAACCACTGCCTTCCCTCTCTGCCTGCTACTTTCCTCTTACTTTCCCACTTGTATTTTTGTTGTTGTTAAAGCAAATTAATTTTTATAAAAATTTTAGCCTTCAGATTCTTCATCATTTTTTAAGGGAACGCTAGAGGTACCACAAAACCAGAAGGTTGAGAGGAAGACAATGTATGTTGCATAGCCCCCGAGGGACTGTCAGATCAACACAAATGTAATCCCCTAAGCACTTAATTAAAACACCCTCATTTTAGAAATGCGGGTTGAGACCATGTGATTGCCTTCTCATGAGGAAATGTTAGATGGTGCTGTGTGTCTTCAAGTCTGTCAGCCATTTGGAAATACCTGTGTCTGTTTCTGCTCCTTGGCTCTTTCTTTTGTGTGGCCATGCCATCCTATTGTATTCTTGAACAGACTTTAATCTGTACATTGGATTTGGTGTTTATCTATTTATAAAGTATTCTAACACTGATGCTCTGGGAAAGTCTTTGGTTTTCTAACAGAGCCTTTATCCCTCAAGGTAAGTGTGAAGTTTATGAACTGTAAACCCCGTGCGGCCACGCATGGACATAGATGAACACTTCCATCTCTGGTCACGTGCTCTGTGGGAGGGGCTGAGAATGTCTATAACTAATGTTGCAATTTAACCTTCAGTTGTCATTGAGGATTTGCTCCCATCATGACCAAGAATTGGAAGGAATGTCTTCTGTAAGTCTGCAATTTAGACAGATTACATGTGGCTTTTAGAAACTTGGTGATTTTTCCCTTTTCAGATTGTTCGTTGTTCATTGAACTCTATCCCTTTTGAGGTTTTCATCTTTAGAATCATGCTGGATTCCCGGGGGACGGGGGATGGAGGTCATGGGCGGTGAGCTGGTTGACCCTGTCTCCTCCTCCATTTGAGCACCGACCTGCCACCAGCTATCCCTGTGGTAGGGGTGTCTGAGCTTGCAAGATGAGGGACTCCCTAGACTCCCAAGATGTGTCTCCAACCGCGAGGAAGAGGGCTGGAAGACTTGGCTTCTGTCCTGCCAGAGTCCCATACTCATGCTGGGACTTTACTGAGTTGCCCTGAGCCTCAGCCCCTTTGTCCCTCAGGATATCAGGGATATCCTGTCTTGCTGTCTCCCACACAGGGTGCTTTTCAATCAGCTAATGACTGTAGAAGTGCTTCTAAAAATACATAAAGGTTTTTCTCATTTAACATATCCTTATCTTAAATCCATGGATCTCCCCAGCTCCCCTCACTGGGTTAGGTGGGAACAGTGCAGGGTTACTTTTGGAAATTCTGGAGTGTAGCATTTTCTGGATTTCCCAGCAGGTGGCCATGCTTTACACATGCATCGACGTTGTACTCGGTGTCACCCAAGAGCTGGCTGTGGAGGATATGGAAGCACTGTGTCTGCTGTAAAGTATTATGCAGGTCTAAATCATTGTTGTTAAAGTTATATTTGACAATTTTTTTGCATAAGAGGAATGGCTTTTTTTGAGGGGAATGGCTTTTCTGTTACATAGTGGTTAAGCACACCAGCTTTAGAATCAGACAACCAGGTGTTGAATGTTTGTTCTACCTTTTACATTTGTGAGATTTAAGGCAAATTACTTACCTCTTTGAGCCTTACTTTCCTCATCTGTGAAATGGAGTTCATCACAGTACCAACTTCGTGAAGTTCAGTGAGGATTCAGTGAGCTGAAGAATATAGAGTGCTTGGCCCACTGAAATTATGGTATTTTAGGAAGTGTGCATCTCTTCCTGGCTTTGATGCAAGAAAAGTAATCAATTCAGTCTTTTCCAATTAATTAATAATAGTTGGCCATGATAGGTCTGTGTTAGTGAAAAGCCCAAGTTATATTTTTAAAATGTTTTATTGTATATATAATGGCATATCCCACTGCTGACTAAAGGATATTACTATATAAACCACCTCCTGGGCTTGCTTTAAAGAATAGATTAAAATCATTTGTAATTCGCTCATGAATTCAAACCTTTGGTTTTGGTAACATCTTACGAAAAGTATTTGAAATAGTTTGTGAAGTAGATCTTGTATGTTGTTAGGCAATAAATGCTGTTATTAAACCCGCTCTTATGACATAAAATTGACCCAGCCCAGGACTGTAAATTCAAAATCATACAAATTAATTTGTGTTCTTGGTGTTCCAGTAAGTTCCAGATCCTACCAGATCACAGGTATCATTTTAAAGCAATCCAATTTTGTATTACTTTAGGCCTATTTATCTTAACTTTAGAAGTTTAAGGGAACGTGGATGAAGTGAAGCATTATGGAAAACCAAAGGTGATTTTTAAACTAGTTTATCTTTGTTAATCTAGCCCTCTACACCCTATTCTGGCTAATCGAATACCAGGGCCTAGGCAAAGACTCAGGCCTGGCTGCTTTTAGGAAGCTTTGGTTTCCTAAGACAAAGATGGATGGGATGGGGAGTGTCAAGAGGGAAGGTGGTCCCGGTGCTGGTGGGCTGTGGACTGACTCTACCGGAATTTTACATGATGGAATCGGGTTCCATCCATTTAAATTCGTACTAATAATAGGCAGACAATCTCTGATTTCTTCTACTTGAATGGTGGCTCAAGAGGCAAAACACACCAGTAGATAGTGG